GCTTTCACTGAGAGTTGTAAGGGAGTCTGCCCTGCCCCGCCCTCAAACATTCCTACTCAAACACGTCTCCCTGTGTCCACATTTCTGCATCGTAAATTCCTTCCTTTGGGTCTCTTGCCTTCATTCATCTTAAAACTAAAATCCCCAGGGAGGTGATATGTTAAATGACTGTACATCAGTGTGGTCACCCAACTTAGATGCCCGACTTTTCTTCTGAGGATGAAACGATGAGATGGTCTCCATGGGGTTTGGTCCAGAAACAACCAGAACCAGGGGAGTACGAAACGCCCGGGCAGATGTGTCCTGCCATCCCTGTTGCTATTGTACACCTTCCCCTGCCTTTGTGGGTCCCTGCTACTCAACAAGCACTTTCCCATTCACCAGTTCATGTGACGGTCACCACAGCTCTGTGGGCGAGCAGGGAAGGTACACAAACCCATTGTACAAATGAGGAAGCAGAGACCCAGAGAAGCAAAGTGATGGCACATGGCCAGGCAAGTAGCCAGCGGGAGGGGCAGGGCTGGCACAGCCAGCTGCCTCTTGGATCTCCCCTCCTTTTCTAATGCAGCCCAGCTCATAGAGCCAGACTGCAGGTGGCTTGGCCAACAGCATCAACACTGGGTGGGCCTTCGAGTGTCTTAGGATTTTACTATGGCTCGGGATTTCACTGTATTAGTGGAAAGGTGGGGAGAACAGAGGACGGGGGATTTCACAAAGTTTCTGAGCTACGGTGAACAAACATTCTTGGTGTCAGAAGAGTAGGGTGACCCCTGGAGGCAGCTGGGCCTCTGTGGCTCCAGGTCCCTCTGGGAAAGTCTGTGTTCCCTGTAAGGTCTCTGATTCTCAGAAGGCCCAGTACGGACACCAGGAGCAGCTTTCTCCTTAGTCACACTCTCATCCTCAGCTCCCCACACCCCCTTGGCAAGCTGTGAGGGGAATAAGGAAAACACAATGCCTGTGTGGAGAATCAGAAGCCTGGAGAGGCCGCCCCCTGCCCTCACTCACAGTCTGCCCAGTGGACGGTGCACAGGATGACAGGAGCCCCAGGGCAGCAAAGGCTGCAGACTGAACAATCCCCATGATCCCACCAAAGACAAAATCAGATTATCAGTCTTAAGATCAAAGAAGCAAATCAGATGGAGGCAGGAGCTGGGAGGTGTGATGAGTGAAAGTGATCCCCTGGCAGCATCCATATAGTCCCGGGGGAAGATAGCTGTTGTGTGACAAGAGAGGATGGTGGGTCCCTTGGTGACTCCCAGGTCCCTCCTTCTGTGACTCTGTCCTTCACTCAGCAAACAGCTGTGAGCTTTCACCCCAGGCTGTCCTCTTTATAACTGGAGCTGGGAGGGACAGCCCATGGAGGTCTCCTGTGGGGACTCTCACCTGCTCTGGGAGCAGGGGCAGGGGGGTTGTGAGGAAGCCTGGAAAGGTGTCCTAGAGTGCATGATGACTAGGTGACCCCTTACAGGCAAGTTCCAGGCAAGCCCAGTGATTTGAGGAGCTGCAAACATCAGAGCCTGGGAAACAGGACAAGAAGTGGGACGAGAACAGCTGACACAGCGCCACAGAAGAGTCTCCGGAAAGGGAGATGACACACTTAGATGGCATTTTAGAAACCATGTCTGGCTGCTCCATGGGCCAGCAGCACTGGCCTCACCTGGGAGCTTGCCGGACAAGGCCCTTGCTCAGACAAGGCCCCCAGTGGGGCTTTAGAGTTGGAGGCCCATTTCTAGAGAGTGAGTGGGTGAAGGAGGCTGGTGTGGAGAAAGGATGGGGACATTCAGCAGGCTGTAGAGGAACCAGGGGAGGTGCTGGAACCCCTCCCCCCGCCAAAGCCCCAGGCAGCAGTAGGGGTAGTGAAGTGGGGCCAGCGGCTTGGAGACTCTGGGGGGAGATGAGAGTCCACCAGGGGAGGGAGCAGTTGGATTTGGGCAGGGTGGGAGAGGCAGGGGTCAAGGATCCTACATAGGTTCCTGACAGGACAATGAGGGGAGTGCACCTGTGGCTGCAAAGAGGGGGAGGAGGAGCAGCAGGAGGAAGAGCCACGGCCCTTCCCAGGGCTGAGGGAGACGATGTGCAGCCCGGGCTGTGCAAGATGGTGGATCCCCTTTCTCTGCCATGGAGGGCAAGTTCTCCACGCTTGAGGGGCTCTTGGGTGACCTCATGCTTTGTTTTTGTTCACCACAGCCCAACAGGAAAGGCCACAGCCAGCATCCTTTGTCACACAAGTCAGTCACCTGTTAATTCATTGTCCATGTGTGTTTTCCCCAGCACCCCTGTGCCTTTCTGGCATCTGGGAGTGAATATTAACCTGCCTCCACCAAGCTCGCCTTTAGCCGGAGAGAGAGATAATCACCCAGTCCCAGTGTCATCGTCCATAAAAGTTGACAAACACTAGGAAGGAGGAGGCCTGCGAGGCTGCCTCTCTGAGGAAGCCCACAACCCTGCAATCCCTGCACGTGCCTTATGCCCAGAGCAACATGCGTAGAGATAAATAAATCCAAGTTTCAGGCAGAAGAAAATTAGTTTAAAGATCAGTAAGCTGGGTACAGCTAATAACAGGAACTCTCAACCCGGGCTCACAGATGAAGGAGAGAATGCAGGTAACATGGGCGGAAGCTTCTCCGAGCCTCTGGCTTACTAACACAAACAGGGGTGGATCTCTCCACACCCTCAGCAGCAGCCAGAGTTCATTTCCCTGTAGGAGAGAGGCCCACCAGATACTGCTGCACACCTGAGAGAGCTCCTGGGTTCTGTGTAAGATAAGGCACAAGCAGAGATCTGAGGGACACTCATGCTCCTGCCTTGACCTCCTGGCAGGGACCAGAGTCAGAATGAATCATCTTTCATTCCAGCATCAATTGCAGACATTGGAAGATCCAGAGGCATCAGGTAAAGCATCCATTACTGTAACTGTTCCCTTGCTGTTAAATTCACCCTGAGGAACTGTGTTCTTCTGTACAAAGCCCAAGCTCCCCTAGAAGCTCTTACCTGACCCCACCAGGAGAGGAAGGATGATATTTCTGCAATGCAGTGGGTGCTCTGCATGTCTTATTCAGCTCAGGCATCTGTAACAGAACAGCATAGACTGGGTGCTAGAAACAATAGACAGTTATTTTTCATAGCTCTGGGGGCTGGAAGTCCAAGATCCAGGCACCAGCAGATTCAGTGCCTGGTGGTCTCACTTCCAGGTTCACAGGTGGCTTCTTGGATGAGGATCCCAAGCTCCTCTGGGACTCTTTCATAAAGGCAAGAATCTCGCCCATGAGGGTTCTACCCTCATGACCTAATCACCTCCCACAGGCCTCACCTCCTGATACCATTCATTATCTTAGGGATTAGGATTTCAACATACGAATTTTTGACAGGGACATAAACATTCAGTTCATAGCAGCAGAAAAATGTTTTCTGCTCATGAGAGCTGCCACTGGGGTGCTTGTCAAAAATTCAGATTCCTGGGCGTCACCCCAGACTTAATGAATCTGAGTATCTGGGGGTCAGGCACCCAAAAATGCATTTTCGGTATGTTACCCAGGTGACTCTTATCAAATTAAGTCAAGAGTCCCTTACCTAGAAAGCACTAGAGTAGAAACCACAGGCCCCTGTGATGTTTCTACTTCTGCCAATTGTAGCTACAAGCTTGATGGCACAAACTGAGCCTCTGTTTCCTCAACCACAGACATAGTGGACTTTCCAACAGGCAAAGTCTCTGACTGGGGGGCACTGGACATGTGGAAGATGAGCCTGGAGCTCCTGGAGCTCTTTCTGAGAAGTTAGCATGGGGGACAGCAGCTCAGAGACCCCACATCCTTCCTTGGAAGCAGCACAGGTGACCCGCATGAGGTCAGGGTGACCCAGCCAGAGCACCCAGCTTCTCTTCCCTGGATGTGCATGGGAAGAGGAGATGGTGCACTAAATAAAGAGGTGGCACCGGGGGTGACCTGACAGAGTCCTTGCTGACCTCACTGCTATCTCTTTATAGGCATGCATCTCCTCCCAATGGCCTGGATCCCTCCCCTGGGAAGCAAAGTTGAACTAATATAATGTAAGAGATAAGAATTTGCAGTACAAAAAAAAAGTCCAGGTATAATAAGAATTTGTTGTGGCTCACAGACTAATGGGGAATTGAGAAAACCTGCTCTAGTTAAGTTGGCATTTGCTGGAAACTCCCCACAACGTCTATAAGTCCCCTGAAAGCTAGTGTGTACCCTCGAACCTGAACAGTGTTTGCCGTTCTTACAAGGACCACACAGGGTGATGTGTCTCATCCTCATCGCTGAGTCTTGTTGCTGTTTATCAGTTAATTCAGGCCCATAAGAACA